GAGAGGACAGTGAGCAGAGTACGAGGATGATTTCAGCGGCGACACTTTTAGAGGGTTTTGACCACCCTCGAGCCACCGCAGAGCAAAGGGTCCGAATCTTTGTGTTAATGTTTCTTTCTAGCACGCTTTCTCCTAATAAGGGGAGTTTTGTCATGCTTCGGTACTTACCGTCTCTTGTGGTTCTTGCCGACGTGGGCTCTTATGACTGGGGTGGTCTCGGCTATGCGAACACGTTTCTTTCCTTGAGACAGGCCTGCCGTCAAGTTGACGATACATCTGAGGTCACCGTGAGGAGCCTTTGGAGAGTTGTAGAGGTATAATTTCTCCTTTTGTCTTTCGTTTATGTAAGTTCAAAATTGAAATCTTATGTTTTGCTTTGCTGCAGCTATGGTTCTAGCTATGAGTATTCTCCCTCGCTGGCCCTGACCTGAGCTACTGGGGCCACACGCTCGTTCCCGATAGGAGCAAGCAAGCGACAATGAGGTATGTTTGCGATCACCTCCGTGGCCTCTTTGAGAGGGATGCTACATCGTGTTGGTTGTGCCAACGTGAGTATTGAACATTGTCTTTTTTTCTTAGTAATTTTTTATCTCCGTTTGTGTCTTACAACATGTCTTTTATTTCAGCCAAGGTTCAATGTACGATATCGTCCTTGGGATACTATGGGTGGTATTGAGGGGTTCGAGTACGTTTTTTATCTCTCGACCCATCGCGTGCTTTTTCTCGGGTTTCGGTTCCCAATTTGGTACCTGGGTGAGAGGGTCACCAACCAGCACAACACATACTATTTCGTGGTCCTTCATGATCCGCCAGCTTCGACGATGGATCGCCAGAGCATCTTCGCTATAGTCGATGGTAGGGGTTGTTAGGTTTTCAAGTAATTCAAGAACAAGAACTACTAACCAATGTGGGAACAAAACCTAAAATGAAGTATAATTCAACTAGATTATACAACAATCAATATTAATCAAAATATTACAACCAAACACCAAATTATCAAAGTATTACAGAAAATACTAAGAAATACACTAATGTGAAAGATATTACACTTGCCTCAACTCCAAGCCTTTAAGAACGAACATGAACATAAAAAATACTATGATTGCTTGAGTCTCAATCCTTGATACACTGTCTTAGGCGTGTGAACACTTTTCTAAAGAGTTTAATTTCCCCCACAATGGTGCTTGGGTTTAATCCGGAAATACTCTTTGAGATACAAAAGACAGCCAATCGTTCTTTGCACTAAGAATCGAGTTAAAGATGACAAATTCACACAATTTGGAATAATTGAAAGAGTTTTCTCACAAAGGTTTGCAAGAAATTTCAGAGAAAAGTGTGGAGAATAATACTTAGGGAGATGAAGAAAATCTGTGTCATATTTCTTCACGAAATAATCCTTTTAATAAAAGACTCAACCGTCAGAAAAAACCGCAAAACAGGGAGGCGCGGGCGCTCCACCAGGAGGCGCGGGCGCGCCATCAGGTGGAGCGGGCGCTCCTCATCAGAAATGCGAAATTTCCACAGGAAGGCAGAAGGGGGCGCGGTTTAGACGCGACCTGACGCGCGGGGCGCGCCAACCTTACCCTTCCAAAGTTCCAAATTCCAGAGAGGTACGCGATTTAGGCGCGCTCTCTGCGCGGCCGCACTTAACTTGCGCGGGCGCTCCTACATGGCCGCGATCGCGCAACCATCAACACTCTAAATATCCAACAGGGGTCCTTCTCTAACCTCTTGGCGCGAGTTGGTCTACATGGACCGGGACTACGTCACGGAGATACTTTTGAGGTTAGCCTCAGCTCCCCGCTTCCAAGAGGTTCGCTTCTAAGAGGTTTTTAGTTTTTCACATGGCTTTGTTTGTAGCCCCATTATTGTTTGATAACATGATTATCCAATGATTTGTAGGGTCCTTGCTGTGGTGGGATGTTCGAGCTTCCGAGTCGATCAATTCAGTATCGAGGACCAATTGGGGATATGGAAGAGCACCTCCCGGAGGCCCCGGAGGGATATCAACAGACCTAGGAATCACTTCCAGAGGAGCTAGAGCTGGTGAGTCTCATCTTTATTGCATTGATTGTGTATTTGAATATTCAACTAACATTTTTAAATTATTATTCTCTTTTGATTCACAGCTGCCGCGCGAAGGGGTGATGAGATTGATGAACATCATTGATGCCTGCAAGTACAGCTTGATGAAGTTGCAGTGTCAAATGATGTGTCACAATGATTTTGAGGACGTCCGACGTGTATAATATCTTTATTATTTTGTGTACTTTAATTTTGCTTTCATTTCTTCCTACTAACTATATCTTGTTTCATTTTAGCCACGACATTGACATCGATCTCGTTCTCGTCCAAGGCATTGTGAGTCGGACAAAGCAAGAGCGAGTCATTGTCAATCCTCTCTAGAGTTCCAAAGGTAGCCTCAGCTTCAGCCGCATCACGAGTTTCGACCTCATCAATCGTTTAAGCAGGACGTTCTTTTGCAACCTCCAAGCAAGGAACAACTTGTACCTCAACAGTTGCAGTTGTCGCAACCTCCTCAGGAGTTCGTGCCGATTTCAAGATTCAGTAGGTCATCGTCGACGATGCTTACTCCTTACAGTAGGCTTCATCCCGAGCTTCAGACTTCTGGGGGGGGGATGCCAATGGAGATACAGTTTTTTCCACCGCAGTTCCAAGAATTCGAAGGCTCCGGCTCACAGTTGACTGTGTGGAGCGGGCCACCAATTAGGATGTTGGGCCCTACGGGTGCGGAGGTCGGTCGAGATCTCACTCCATGAACACAATGATGGAGAGCATCTTTGGCCCTTTAGGTGACATTCTGCCTACGTTGACACAGGCGGCTATGCTGATGAGTTGTTTGAGAGTTCCTTGGAAGAGTTATTTATTGAGGGATTTTTGACTTTGTACAGACGTGACTTGACTTATGTTATTGTACTTTACTAATGTAGATTATTACATTTGTACATTTGACCCGATTGCATTACTTCGTGGATTTGTACATTTATTTAGCCAATTTTTTTTTTTATTGAGTTAGCAAATTAGTTGTGCTTGTTATTGAGTACAAGTGTTTGTATAAGTTGATGTAAAAAAAAAATCCTTCATTATTTATCAGTAAAAGAAGGGTTTTCAACATTATCGTAGAAAATAAATAAATAAATAAATAAAGAGATAGAAAACATATTTATAAAATTTAGTTTGCCCAAAAAGAAATATATGAAAATTAGAAATTAGGAAAATTAAATATTCCCAAAAGAAAGAAATTAAAATTAGAGTTTAGGAAAATTAATTTTCTCTAAAAGAAAATAATTAGAAAAAATCAAGGAGAATTAAGTTTCTCTGCTATTAAATCCAACCAAAAATATACAAATAAAAGAAGTGTAAACACGATAGAATTGTATATCGAGTATGAGTCGGGCGCTGATATGGAGTCCTCGGTAGCTAGCAATGCCCTAAATATTGAATTTAGGTGTTCGAATTTGAATCGAATAAAGGGAAGTATGTCACGTCAAGATGCAGGTGCGTCGCTCGCGACACAATGCGATTTGTCGTGACATAACACATTTGTCGTGGTGGGATACTCTAACGCGCCGAATTTTATACAAATTTTGTTTACTTTTTGCCTAGAGAAATCGTTTGGATTACCTCTTTAATTGCAACACTTTTTATAATCAATCATTTTTTTCAATTGCAAATTTGCAACACTCTTTTTAATGGAAATGCTCCACAACATTTTGTTATATCTCTCATTTCACACAATCCCCACTCCTACCCCACTCACACATTTTATTACTTTTACATAAAGTTTTCATTCAATATCACTATTTTTTAATCATCTTTTGATTCCCCAACAAATCCCACCTACACAATATTTTAGTAAATTCAACTCAAGCGACTAAAAATCCGTGCTGATCAAAGTGTTGCAATTATAAAAGATACGAATGGAGTATTTCACTATTATCATGTCGTGTCATGAATTTGAAAGAAATCATCACATGAGCCCAAAAAAAAATTTAAAAAAAAAAAAACAAAAAAACATGCATTTTGCATCTAAGGATATTATTAGGTTTTGCTTAAAGAAATTTAAGTATTAATATTTGTAAACCATGCATCGCACAAAAGAGATTTTTATGTACATCCGGGTGCATACACTTTGCACCTAAGGATAGTTTATTTTTTGCTCAATTTGATGATTATTACTCATTTAATCATCAAAAAAAAAATCAAAAAAAATAAAAAAATAAAAATTAAAAAATTGGTTCCACCTCGCAACTCTATATTAAAATATTCATTGTTATACTAGCTTAAAACAAATAAGCACTCAACCATTCCCTTGTATTATATTTTAAAAATTTTGGTAAAAAAAAAAAAAAAAAAAAAAAAAAAAAAAAACATTTCATGTTTTATATAAGCATTATTATTGTTTTTTTATACTATTCATTTATTAAAATAGATTCTTAATGTTAAAAAGTCACTTGTAATCATTTGCTTCCATAAATGATGGGTTCTGAGTCTCGAATCCGGATTAGCCCAAAAAAATAGGTTCGCGGGTATTTATCGGTAAAAATTATGTATAGTATGTCAAAATGTGAAATGATCTAGGTGAATTATCATGTGACGATAATATATGAGATACAAGGAAGATATAATAGAAATTAAATAAGGCATAAATATTTATGAGAAGAAACATTTATATCAAAGAAAATTTTTTATGTGTCATACTAGTGGGTATGAAGAAAATTAGGCTAGTTTTAAGGGGAGATTAGTGAATTAACAAAGAAAAGAGAGATTGTCCCACTAAAACAATAATTAGTGGGTGATTGTGAAAGTCAAAATATCAATTCCCATTAAACATGAATAAAATAAAGGGATAGATTATCTTTCGATCTATCTATCTATAGGATTGAAATCGGATTATTCTAGTAGATAACTGGAGACAAAAGAAACATTTTTTTTGTTTTACAAAATTTTTAGGACAACACCTTAAAAAAGGGGGGATGATTACATAGTGTAGAAGATAATAAAAATTAAGGATTTGAGTTTGTAAAGATTGATAAAAGAATGTGGCTTTCAAAAGAAAATTCAGAAAAAAGAAATACATCAAATCAATTGGTTGCAGTTGCAATAGACAGGGATAAAGGAAGTCAACATGCTCTAAAATGGGCAATTGATAATCTTCTTCAAAGAGGGCAAACAGTTGTGCTTGTTCATATTAAAGTTAGGCCTTCTTATGGCTCTTCTCCCCATATTGTTATCAATGGTAAGTGTAAGATTTTCGGAAATCAATGCATAATTTTGACCATGACTACTGATAGTTTATAAGGTTAATCACTATATCGATCGATAAATTCATGAAATGTTGACATTTTGAATATATGTATGCATCTATAATGTACTACATTCGTCTATTGATAGAATTATGAAATGTAAGCTAAGGTTGACATTTTGAATATATATATTGATAATTAGACATGATTTTATGTAAATTGCCCTTTTGCATCAATGGTCTTTATATATTTCTACACTTGTGTAGGTAGACAATGGGATCAACAAACAAAGGATTTGTTCCTCCCCTTTCGTTGTTTTTGCACGAGGAAAGATGTAGGTACTTGCGCTCCATTCTTGCAATTAAACAACAAATAAGTAAAAAATGAAAAATCAAATCAAGATTGATATGAAATTTTTATTTTTTAGTTGCCTCAAAAAAAAAAAAAAAAAAAAATAGCGCGCATATGTAGGATCATCGTATAAAATTTATAATACTTCTACTATATTCATTTCACCTCAAATACTTGTGTCATATACTTATTATCGGATACTTAGACACTCGAAACACTTCATTTTTAAACTAAAATATTTCATATATTCATCATAAGATGATTGAGTTTGACAATGCTACTCAAGCTTGATTAACAAACAATGTTTAAATTTCTTAGGTGTTTATTTTGATTTCATTTGTAAAATTCTTTTATTAGCTTTTTTTCTTTAAATTTATTGAAAATTTTATGGATAGATACAATGTCGGGACATCGTGCTTGAAGATTCAGATGTTCAAAAGGCATTGATAGAGTTTGTTACCCAATCCGCAGTTGAAGTTTTGATCATGGGTGCTTCTTCTAGAAATTCGATCTTGAGGTTTGTATCGACATTATTAAATTAAAGAGTTGGAGATTAGTAAAGAACCTTAAAACATTACTGATTAATAAAGGATTGATATATACAACCCTAATGGTCAAAATAATTAAGGATCTAAAACGGAAATATTAAACGTAGTCAAACATTAATAGTGATTGACACATGATTTTGTCATGCATTATTAAATTACTAACATAATACTCAGTACTAGAATATGTAACGGAAATTTTTCATGCAGTATCAAACAATCTTGTACAATATAAAAATCAAATAATAAATGATTTTGAAATTACATATAATTTTTATTTTCTTGGACTAACTTTATGTTTTCTAACATATATACATGAATTCTTAATGCTCATATAGCAAATTCACCAAGACAGATACTCCTACGGCAGTATCAAAAGGAGTACCAGAATTTTGTAGCGTTTATGTAATTTCAAAAGTAGGAAAAATCTCAAATACTCGATCTGCATCTCGTCCACCTCCAATTGTTTCGCCTCTTCGAAATCAAATTATGAATCAGCCAACAAGTGCCCCGGTTTCTCCTCCTCGCGGTAAAATAAAACGTTTCTTTTTACCTAAATTATTTATACTTCCTCCGTTCTTTAAAAATTTTAGAAAACTTTCCTTTTTGAAAAGTTTTGATATAAAGAGTATATATTTTTGTTGCAAATAGAATATGTACTTACCACCGTCTTTATCATTGACCAGGGTCGGAAAAAACAACACCATCTGGATCACCATTTAATGGATTTGAAGACATGGATTTTAAGTAAGTGCAACGTCTAGCTAAAATTTCATATGTCAAATTAAAATTGGTAGACACTGTCCTAGGTTTTCGTAATACCACTAGTCCTTTTACCTTAGAGGTGATCATTGGGCGGGCCGGGCCGAAGCTAAAATATTATGCCAACTTCTTGGGCCGGGCCAAGCTTCGGGCCGGTTTTTTTGTGCCCAAACCGACCACAATGGTCTGGCCGTGCGGGCTTTTCGGGCCGGGCCTAAAAATCAACTAAATATGCATAAAAACGCATTCCCAAACCCGCCCAAAAAAAATCGGGCCGGGCCGGGCCCAAGCCGGGCTAACTTTGATCACCTCTATTTTACCTTCCTACTTCCTCCATTTTTTTTTTTTACTTACAACAGTTGACTTTTACACTATGCACATATCTAACTTTGACTACCTTTGGTGAGTTGTTGGTTAGGAAAAATATAGTCATGTGGGATCTTGTTTTACTCATCTCGATTTATACTTTCATAATATCAAATTTTTATAATTTTTACACATTGATAATTTAAGATATTAACGATTGAAATAGTACATTGACAAGCGTGAAAAGAGAAGTGTTGCAAGTATTAAAAAACAGAGGAGGTATATAACATGGGACTACGTTCCTTGATTCATGTAAAATTGGCACAACAGTATGACCTTGTCATATAAAAATTCGTTCAGTTTTGAAAGAAGACTCTCCTGACAATTTTAAGATCTTTTTCTACAGATCGGCCTTCACTCGAGGGGGTAGACATCCACATGTTAGATCTTACGGTGACATCCTATCGGACAACGATATCTCATTCGTAAGCTCGGGAAGGGCAAGTGTTGATCGCATGCTTCCTTCAACCTATGATGTTTTTGAAGAAAGGAGGAGCACTAGTACTAATAGATTATCATCAAGCTCCGAAAATGATTTTATAAACGAAACTCCTCAACGAAGGTCCTTTGCGGACACTACGCCTTTGTCTAGCCCTCCTCCTAATTTTTCTAATTACTCTTTTCATGACAACTCTAACTCGAATTGGTCATCAAACACGCAATCCCAATCAATGGTACGTAGAAAAACGCTATCAAATTTTACTAAGTTCGACCATAGGAAAAGAGATATGACGTAACTAGAAAACAACATAGGAAGTATGTAATTTGTACATGGGATTTAAAATGCATGCATTGATTTAATATTTGTAACAAGTTAGACGAGTAATTAAATAGTGTTCAAATTTCCCTAATGCATGCATTCTTATTACTACATCCGTTTCGTATTATTAATGATTTAACATAAAGTGTGAGTAAAAAATGTCTAACCGTTGCAAATAATATAAAACGAAGGTAGTATATCACTTTATAAACAAAAAATTTTAAGAAACAATCCATAATTAATGATTCTTCTTTTCAAATTATAGGATGATGTAGAAGCTCAAATGAGAAAGCTAAAGATGGAGTTAACGCAAACAATGAATATGTACAGCAATGTTTGCAAAGAAGCACTTACAGCAAAACAAAAGGTTTTCCTCTTTTCCTATATCTATCCTTAATGAATATCCTTCAAGATTGTTTGTACATGCTGACTAGTTAGTATTACGTACTTCTTTCGTTTTTTTAATATTTGCAACACAATTTCATCTCAAGACATGCATTTGTATGTAGTAGGTGATTAGAGAAGGTAAATGAACAATTTTATTCAAAATGATTATTAACACTGGGAAGAGAGAAACTACGAGTTACTTAGGTATTAATAAAGCCTTTTTTTTTTTTTTTGCTAAACTTGTGTTGGACTATTTATTCATTAACATGATTTAATCTCTTCCTCAACGTGTGGTGTCATATTTTGGCTAATTCTAACTGTTTTGATGAAACAACTTTTATAAGAATTTAGTTTATAGTATGGTGGAAAGTATAAATAAATTAAAAAAATCAAAATCTTAGATATATGCTTGCTTGAGATTATTCAAAACATTTATGAAGGAATTCTTAACTTATAGGCCCTTGAGCTCCAACGGTGGAAAGTAGAAGAAGAGCGTAGAATGGATGAAGCTCAAGATTCCGAGGAGTCGACAGAAACATCATTCATAGAGAAGAATAAAGCTAAATCAAAGGCATCCATTGAGGCATCGGAAGCACATAAAAGACTACTCGAACTCGAGGCACAAAAAAGGATCAGTGCCGAAATGAAAGCACTAAAGGAAGTAGATGAAAAGAACAAGGATGTGGATCGTATAACCACAGCCATAAGGTATAGGAAGTATACAATAGAAGAGATAGAAATAGCTACTGAATACTTTACCGAAGCACGAAAGATTGGAGAAGGAGGATATGGCCCAGTTTTTCGATGTCACTTAGATCACACATTAGTTGCTGTTAAGGTGTTACGCCCTGATGCTGCTCAAGGAAGATCTCAATTTCAACAAGAGGTTTGCTACCAAACCAAAATTACTATCTTCATACAAATAATTTAGCAAACATATTCACCTTTTTGTTACACTGAATAATTTAGCAAACATATTCACCTTTTTGTTACACTGAATAATTTAGCAAACATATTCACCTTTTTGTTACACTGGCTCTGATACCATGTTAAAAGATCAATTCAACAAAAAAACTTAAGATAATGGTTATAGTTCATGACTTGTTATATACGCTATACACAAACTTTCATATGCGGCTAGCCACACCGTGTAGCCAACCATCATAGAGTTACTTCGTTAGTGTTATTGGGGTTACTTATTAAAGGAGTTATTTCGTCAGTGTTATTGGGATTACTTTGTTCTTTTACAAGCGGCCACATGGTGTGGCAAGCCGCACACAAAACGCATTGTACTCTATATCAAGTCGAGTATACATTAGTGTGATATCAAACCCTTCTCCTAAAGGATGGAATACAATTCATGATTTGTTTTTTATCGACATACTTTAAGTTTATTATTAGAATATACTTCACCATTTGAATTTTTTTTTGTGACAATTTTTTTGTAGGTTGAAGTTCTTAGTTGCATTAGACACCCTAACATGGTTCTTCTACTGGGAGCTTGCCCGGAGTATGGATGCTTAGTTTATGAGTACATGCACAATGGTAGCCTCGAGGATCGTCTATTCCGGCGAGGTGAGACCACGGCACTCAGTTGGCAACATAGGTTTCGTATTGCAGCAGAAATTGCCACAGGCCTCTTATTCCTACACCTAACGAAGCCAGAGCCGTTGGTGCATCGAGACTTGAAACCGGCCAATATTCTCCTAGACCGCACCTTAGTTGCCAAGATTAGTGATGTAGGCTTAGCTAGGCTAGTTCCCCCGAGTGTTGCCGACGAGGTTACGCAGTATAGGATGACCTCCACTGCTGGTACTTTTTGCTACATTGACCCTGAGTATCAACAAACAGGTATGCTTGGTTTTAATTCTTAGAAACTGTCACTTTTTCTTTTTTTATCTTACTATAGAGAATTTCTTATTAGGCCCGGTTATTTTCACTTATTTTTATAAAAAACAAGTTTAAATAAGTTTAGTTAAAATAAGTTTAGGAGAAATAAGTTTTGATAGATTAATAAGAGTTACATAAGTTTAATTTAAAACTAAAATAAGTTCTAATAAGGACTAATATGTTTTGATAAGTTTAGATTAGATAAGACAAGTTCTTGTAAGTAAAAATCAGGTGAATTGAGTATACCTTTAGCAGGTGATTGCAACATGCAATCATATTAGACATCGATCAATAGACCTTTTCTAGCAATTACAATTTTGTTAGAATTTATTCAATGTGATTGTTGTTTTTATTGTTATAGGTATGCTTGGTGTGAAATCAGATGTGTACTCCCTAGGCATAATGCTTTTGCAACTGATAACGGCGAAATCACCAATGGGCTTAACACACCATGTTGAGAGAGCAATTGAGAAAGGAACATTCAAGGATATTTTGGACAAAGAAGTTACAGATTGGCCTATTGAAGAGGCTTTAAAATTTGCTAAACTATCACTTCAATGTGCTGAGTTGAGAAGGAGAGATAGGCCCGACCTCGGAACGATTGTGTTGCCTCAACTTTGCTTTTTAAGAAATATAGCAGAGGAGAGTTTGGATGCTATGACGTTTCGCGACACATATGGAGCTTACAATTCTAAATCATCTAATAGCCAAGTCTCCGTAAGTGCCCGTTCTTAGACTCATGCTTGTTTGAATTTTTAGAAGTTATGATAAAAGTCAACGCGTGTCATTAATGCCTTTAACCTTTTGATCATGTCATTGCATTATCTCACACTTGCATGCATGTAAAACTAGTCCTTGAATCATCATCAATCAATCAAAGCCTTAATTTAATCCCATAAGTGGGATTGGCTACATGAACCAAAATTGATTATTCAAAACTAGTCCTTGAATGAATAATAAAAATGTGTTTCAAATGTGCAGGATTCATTAAGCAGTGCACCTTCTCATGAAAGTTGGAAGAGCTCAACTTTTAGTGGAGAGTAACAAAAACATATCAAATAGCATGAATATATGTGAGGGGAAAAACGAAGCTTTTAGGCTCTATTTGAAACTAGATTTTGAAGTAGAGATTAGTGGTTTGACGAGATCAAATCTCTAGTTGGAAGAAAAAGATAGATTTATGTTTTGATAAAGAAAACCTAATCTTCATAGTCGGAAACAATAATAAGTGGGTTAATGCATTAGGTAGATGGCAAAGATGATCCACAAATACAAGTGGTGCATAATTTTACACAACAAATTTTGAAATTGTAATTATTAATTTAGGAAAATTTTCAATCAATACATATATACAAGTTTGTAAGCACAATTAAACTTGAGTTTCTGTACAAGAGGTAAATTCTTGTTGTATAGACAGTTTCTTGTTGATCAATTAAAAAAAAAAAAAAAGTTTTTTTTAGATTTAATTTTGTAAACATTTGTTAGAAAAGGTAATTCCAAAAGAGGAAGTTGTTCGGTTGTTCTTTGTGATTTTCTTCGAATTCAAAGCACTGTTAAATCTCTCTCGATGTAAAACAAGAGGATTACACTAAATTTTAAATTGATCTTATTACATATTTGTATGTAAAAAAAATTACTCGTAAAAGCATATATTAATTAAAAGAAAGAAAGAACAACTATATTTATTAATTTATCAAGAAATTGGAACTTCTTTCGATTATAACCCTAAAGATACAGTCTACTTTATAGACTAAATCTATGGACAAACAATTAAAACATGCCCGTAAGCCAAAAATAGGGACCGGCGGCTAATGATGATTAAAAGAATCGGAACCATCTAACACTAATTTTCTCAACATAGCACATGATTATAGACCCTCGCAATGCTGCTTCAATTGTACATCTTACTACTAGGCAGCTCAACGCGCTATATCCAGGCTGTTATGTAAGTGTATCAGTTCTTCGAAACTGATGATCGCTGCTGAATTGCCTGAAAGCTGAATACTTGTTCAAAAAGTAACAAGCTTTTAGAAAGTCTGTCTGTATAGTAGTAGCATGTTACCTCAGGCAACATCCTAAATGTCATCGACAGCTTCTTCTTCTTCCAAGCGCTTTTTACCCTTTGGTCGACCAGATCTTTTAACATCCGGTCCATTAAGTAACAGCAAAGCTTTCTCCATATCAATATCATTAGCGATCACACTCTGCATTCATGAAGGAAATCAGACTGATCCATCAGTCACTAAAGCAATGAGCCCAAATATATATATATATAGAAAAAACTTATTCTCTATAGTTTCTTAGATAAGCAAAGTTGCAGATGGCTTCAGCCAATGAAATTCATTATTTTTAATCTTAAATACCAAGTAGAAAGACGCTCAACACCACCACCAACAACAACAATAACAATAACAATAAACACATTATGGTGAACGGAAAAGGCTCTTATCTATATGCTTCATACCCAAGAGGAAGATCTAAAATGTCAACTGGCGTCACATGAACTAGTTGACCATACAAAGACCACTTCATAGATTTTGAACATATATCATGAGTCATTAATAGATATAAGATATTATACAAATGCCTTATGATGTTCCATGATAGCAAGAAACATTTCAGAACATGCATCAGAAGCAGGTTAACCAGTTACTGTAGCACTAGGTAAAAGTTAGGATCAAAGACATACCTTTGGCACAGGAGCTATGTTACGTCGATGCCTTATGGTAAACCCTGTTTTTGAGATCTTTATTTGTATTGGCAGGCCATCTACAGGATGATTTCCCTGGACGCAATATTCACAAAATACGCAGTTCAAGAGGCTAATAAAAATAAAGGTAAAACTGAATTAAAAAATAAAATATATATATATATATATATATATATATATATATATATATATATATATATATATATATATATATAAGCTAATGAATAGAGAGATATACCAGTGTAACAGGGTAACGAAGCAAATCGATAGCATGTTCCAGTGTTATTGAGCCCAAATCCTTGATCTGAAAAGGATCCCAAATTAAAAGCAGTCTAGGAACTTTTTATTTAAAATTTATTTCTGAAAAATATCAAATACAAACTATAGCATGCTAAATACTCAATCGCCATTGTAGTAAATCAAGAAATTGCATAGTTAATAAACAAGAAAAAGAATTTTATTGATTGTGAAAAAAGAGCTTTACAGCAAAGTGGAAGGAATTTGATTGTCCTCCATCTAAGAAGCAAAATGCAGAGCACACAAGTCACAGCAAGTGATAATTACACTGAAAATAGCACATGTCACAATGTTACTCAGGACAGTCCTCACAAGTATTTAACTCAGTTTTTTTATGAACTAGAGCATATCTGTCGTAAAGCACGGGGTATATTAATAGTATACACTGTCGGATTTATTATTATCATTTATTTTTTCAAATTTGATTAGAATTTTTTTTTTTTTTTTTTTTTTTTGGTTGTTCCTGTTAAGAACTACGAAGTATGATTGGAAGAAGTTATTGTATGTTTGGATGCGAGGATAATTTTGCAAGTTATGATGAAAAGTGAGAGTATCTTATATTTAAAAAAAAAAATAGAGAGTAGTTTGTAGGATTTGAGGATTAACGGTTTGGCGGCTCGTCATTAAAAGCTGAAAAATTGACTTCGCAATTATTATATACTTCTACTACGTAGATACTTTCCATAACATTGTCCCAAATGAAGTGTCAAAGTGTTGTTATACGGCTAATACCCATGTCGCTTGTCGGGGTACATGATGTGTAATGAAAAGTCCAAGTACCATTGTTGTCAACAGCTTCTCCAGCATAAAATTAGTTAAATGATACTCCACAAGGTGGTTATGATAGATACGGTGGAAACTGCTATAATCACAATGTATAACATCCCACAAGCGTCATAGTGTTACAAAGTCATGCCATTAGGAAAGACATAAGCTACAAAACCAAAGTCTTATTTCCAAACGGATGGGGTTGGCTGCATAAACCAAGAATCTATCTCTTGCATCCACGAAGATCCTCTTCCTCCATTTGCTTATATCCAGATCAACATACTCTTGCAAACCCACTTTCTTCATGCATTTCTTAATTTCCTCAATCCAAGTCATCCTTGACCTCCCATGACTTCTTTTGAAATCATTATTATCCAACATTTCCCCTTCATTAGCGATGCATCCTCTGATTGCCACCTCACATGCCCTAACTAAAGTAGCCAATTCTCCCTTATCTTACCCTCAAGATCCAGAACTCCAAATTTCCTCCAAATTTCATACATTCAGAAATTTATCACTTAAGGTGTTCCCATACATCCATCTCTACATTCATCTTCTTTATATGCTCCTTCCTAAATGCCCAACATTCTGACTAGTATTGTAATGCCAGTCTAATGAAAGCACTTCTATAAAGTCAATGGAGAATAACGTTGCCTCAGGCTGTTTTGATGTATCCGCTCGTCATACAAAGTTGGAATACAAGAGGGAAAGTAGGAGGTGATTGCAAAATTTATGCAGGTCATAATCTCTTCTTGAACAGCATATGTCTCCGTCACACAATTACACAAATAGAGGAGGGACAAGGGCTCAATTCTAGATCAGCCTTCATGTTTTCTTCTTGTTAATTCTTATTACTTCAGATATTTTAATTATGGCCCTTTGCAGCAAATGTATGTTTCAGTGGAAATTCTTTTGGGGGCAGAAATGATAAAAAAAAATTGTGAGCCAAATTCAAGGATGAAATAAAACCATTCAACCTAACATCCAGATGATTGTCAGAGGCGCTCGCCAAAGTCACTAATGTATATACTATATTAAATCAATGGGTTTGGAATGAAAAATATATAATAAATCATATTAAAACAGGAACAGTAACATTCAACTGATTCTGATAAAAATTCAAACAATCACACTGATTGGATCTTGGCAATTTCAATTAGTTTCCAAACAAAAAAAAAGGCTTATCATGTTTATACCATGCTTCACAAAATAAAACATCTACACTTGATACTCGTTAAAGCTTTATGTTATTGCCAGAAATAATAAGAACCCAATACTATCTAGTGGCTAGCCAATCTTTTTCTTTTCTTGCCTCTACTATCAGACTTTACAATTTCTCTCCTCTGTGTTCCCCTAACATTGACATCATTGTCATGAAATTATTTTGAACAACGAAGATAGTAAGGGAGTGAACACAGGCACATAGGTTAACCTGAGGCCTACAGCCTATGGGGGATAAAATTGTATGGTCAATAGTAAGGTCTCCTTTGATATAATATCAATCCTGACTTAGAGCCTAATTTTCTTAACTAAATGAAAATAATGTGTTGTATACATGCACCCATTCCATTCCAAAGTCTTTATCTCACATGGAATAATAACACAGCATAGGACATCTCATAAGAAAAGACATTAAATGAACTAACCTGAGATGCAGATGCTCGTTTGGGTAGATATCCTTTTCTGTCTTCACCAAGCTGCACATAAGACCCATAAGGGCCTCCCTTCAAAAGGACCTATTAAAAAAAATACCATAGTTGAATAAATATATAAATAATGACAATTATTGTGGCGGCAGCCTGCCCGGGGAGAGGGGGGGGGTGGAGAAAGAAAGCAGTCCCAAATCAGTATTCACAGATTGAATAGACCATAATTTCCTGATTAATACCTTCTCACCAGAAACAGGATGAAGACCCAGCAACTTTGGCTCTTCAACTGCCAAGTTGTTCTGAGGAGCATCATCTTCATCTTCTTCCCCGTACAAAGTCTTCGCTATAAACCTACACCAAGATAAATGACAATCTTCTTCAGGAAATCAAAATATGCATCGGTTTCAGTAAATTTAAATGTAGCTCCAAAAGACATTATCAAAGATTATAAGAGTAATTCTGTCAAAAACCAAAAAAAAAAAAAAAAAAAAAAAAAAAAAAAAAATTTAAGAAATTAATTCATGACACTTCAAAAGTTCAAAGTTATAATCAGGATTAAAGGGGGGGGGGGTTTATGAGCACTATCCCAAAAGAGTGTAATTAACAGTGAACTCCGTGCTCTTTATGTTAGCAGAAATATCCACACCAATGTTCACCTTTCATTCTTTCAACATAAAAGGTCTGACCACTAATTCTGTCATTACAAGGTATTAAAATTTAAAAGCATCATCCTACAAAAATCAAGTTCATTTATGAAACACAAGATTGTGTATCTTTATTATGTTATTTAAATTCAAAAAACAAAGGGATTGTGTCCCAAGGGTGGACAATTGTGACAGAGCTGCATAACATGTACTTAAGCCACGCCATAGCCAATTTTTAAAAATAGGAATCCACATAACTTTATAGTTTGTTATATTCATGAATACAATTAATGCCTAGAACAAATCACCTAAAAAAGTCACTAAGGGACAACATAAAGTATTTGGGCTTTATCTTTCGGTGAAATTCTGCTTGACAAAAAATGTGTTGCTACTAACTATTACTCGTGCAATATTTTTCTCTGAGTTCTTAAGAAGGCCAGAAGAAGATAAAATCCACAGAAAATAGAATTGGAGCTAGCTAATAAATTTTATATTTCAGGGGCAATTCATAAAAGACAAAAGAGAATGTTCAGTGGAATGAGTATTATTTAAGCCCTTAAAAAATAATATTGCATGAGCATAATTATAAGCTTTGGTCCAAAGGCAGATGCATAAGTCTGTCACAAGTATATGACTAAGAATTTCAATGGCTCTCGAGCTATTATAATTTACAATTTACAATATTATAATATCAATCATCCTTTGAGGAAAACTTATACAAAAGACTACAGAGACCAATTTTAGTTAAAAATATAGCTTAGTGAAGACTAAATTGATTTAATGAAGTTGCTACTACACTGAATTGTCTATAGACAAAAAGATGTGATTGGATTGGTATTACTTACTTGCATTTGGGGTGTTGATCACAACCTATAAAATAGCCTGCACCATATCTGCTAACTTTGAAGATCAGAGTACCCTCCATACAACTAGGACATGATCGACTTTCTTCGGGAAGCGAGGAGAAAAGGAAGTTATCATAAGTTCTCTCTAGCATCTTCTCCACCTGATGGATGTGAACTTTGCCAGCACGCTCACAGTAAGTACTGAACCTACCCCAATAATCCTTAAGAAGCCCTTTCCATTCAGTCGATCCAGCAGAAACATTGTCAAGCTCAGTTTCCATGTCAGCGGTAAAGCTATAATCTGTCACCTCATTAAAATAATGAGAGAGAAAGGCTGAGACCATACGACCACGGAATTCAGGGGTTAGCACTCGGCTTTTTGCTGTTACATATTTTCTATCTTGTAAAACTCTAAGTATGCTTGCATATGTTGAAGGTCTTCCAATTCCAAGCTCCTCCATCTTCTTCACCAATGATGCCTCAGAGTAGCGAGGTGGAGGCTGAGTATGGTGTTGTCTTGTTTCCAAATTTCCAAGACACAAAGGATCCCCTTGTTTAAGATTACTGAGGATCTTGTAAATTTCAACACGATCAGAGGGTTCATTGTCAATGTCTCTTATAGCCCGAGTCTCCTTATCTTCATAAACTGACCTGAACCCAGGAAACTCAACTGCAGTACAAGCAGCTCGAAAGGAAATGGACCCATCACTATTACCAATATCAAGCTGTATCTGATCAACTCTTGCAGCTTCCATTTGGCAGGCCATTGTACGAGCCCAGATCAAAGTGTACAACTTTAGGGAATCTTCATCAAGAGCTCCAACAAGCATTGATGGTAATCTTCGTATATCTGTGGGTCTAATGGCTTCATGTGCTTCTTGGGCATTCTTCACCTTTTTAAAAAATTTGCGTGGACTACTTGCAGCAAACTTCGAACCATAACGTTCTCCAATTAAGGAACATATTTCCTTTACAGCTTCATCAGATATATGTAAACCATCAGTCCTCATGTATGTTATCAACCCAGCTGCCTTGCCATCTGCAAACTGAATTCCCTCATACAACTTCTGTGCCAGCTTCATTGTATAGGAAGCAGAAAAACTTAACTTATTTGCAGCATCTTGCTGAAGGGTCGATGTTATATAGGGAGTGGGAGGGTTTTTGTTTACTTTGGTTTTCTTAGCAGCAGTGACCTTAAAATTCGACGAGCTCACAACCTGCTCAATAACCTTTGCCTCGGTCTCTGAACCAATTGAAAACTGATTCAACCTTTTTGAATCAAAATGAGTCAAATATGACTTAAGAGAAGACTTGTTTGATGCCACATTTAAAGCATTGAAGGTGGCTTCTACACTCCAATATTCCTGTGCTTTAAATTCCTCAATTTCTATTTCTCTATCGCATATAAGAGAAAGAGCAGCTGATTGTACTCGTCCAGCAGACTGACAACCAGGTAGCTTTCTCCATAAAAGTGGGGAAATGTTGAATCCAATCAAATAATCGAGTGCACGGCGAGCAAGATAAGCATGGACCAAGTTAACATCAATATCTCTTGGACTTTGTAAAGCACTTTTTATTGCAGATTCTGTTACTTCTTGAAAGACAACCCTGGCAATAGTTATATTATCACGTAACGCATTCTGTTGCTGCAACATCTCAATAATATGCCAAGCAATCGCCTCTCCTTCTCGATCAGGATCTGATGCAAGAATAAGATTATCTGCTCTGAAAGAGAGTAAAATAAGATGAGTATAAGTGTAGAACCCCTTGCAATTAAGATAAAAGAGTTACTCAGATAAGAAACTCAATACACCTGTCAAAAGCAATTGAAAAAAGAAGGGCAATATAGAAATACAAACTCTTAAATAGACTTGATTCACACTAATTTATTGTAGACCACTAATATTAGGGTCACTATGTTTAAATGTTGCTATTTAAGCATAAAGGTTTTTATATTAATAAATAGTCACTATATGTTAAAATAAAGGTTATTATGTTAAATTAAAAGTTATTATGGTATAATAAAGGTCATAAGAAATAGGAAAAATTGCCACCATTAATCCCAACTTTGCTCCATCCGCCGATATTAATCCCAACTTCAGTTTATTCCCTATCACTCCCAACTTTGCACCCTATTGATTTCTATCACACCCAATTGACCTGCAACAGGTTAATCAGGTTAACATTTGTGTGTTAGATTTTTTTTTTGCACACGTGTCACTACGTGATTGGTGAAATAAAAAAAGAACAAAATTAAAAAATAAAACAGCCACCCTTAACGGCAGCCACCGTTAAAGGCAGCCGAAATCGGGGAGGGAGAAGGCCGGAATTCAACGGGGAAGTGAATGCAAGGAGCAGAAACGGTGGAAGAAGGGTGGGGGGATGTCGGAATGGGAAGGGGATGGAAGGGTTATGGTCGGGATTCGACGGGGAAGCGGCGGAAATCAGCTGGGATGGGAGGGACGTGGTTAGAATTCGACGGGGAAGGATTTAGAGGGCGGAAATCGGCGGGGAAGCGACGGAAACGAAGGGGAAGGGGGCGGTAATAGCGCGGAAGGGGGCGGAAACGGAGGTGAGGAGGAAGGAAGAAGGGGAAGCGACGGAAACGAAGGGGAAGGGGGCGGAAACGGAGGGGAAGGGGAAGGAAAGAGGCTTGCCGGGAATGGCAGGGGTTGCTGCCCGCCGGAAACGGCAGGGGCTGCCGCCTGTCGGAGGTGGCAGGGACGGTAGGGGTTAGGGTTTTAATTTTTTTTTTAAATTTTTTTTGTTTTTTTTTCGGACCTATCACGCATTGACACGTGTCTGATAACCACCTCCTACATCAGGTTGGATGACCAGTTGGGAATTAATAGGGTGCAAAGTTGGGAGTGATAGGGAATAAACTGAAGTTGGGATTAATATTGGCAAAAGGAGCAAAGTTGGGATTAATGGTGGCAATTTTTCCTAAGAAATAAATATACTACGTATATTATAATGAAAATTTTAATATACCAGTCAATATTAATAATAAAGGTCACTATGTTAAAATTATAATCACTATGTTCAAACTAACGTCAAATGACACATGTGGACCTCAAACCAGGCTCGCACAAGTTTTAATAAAGGTCATTATGTTAAAATTAGGATCACTATATTAAAATTAGGGTCACTATGTTCAACATAATGTCGGTTGGCGTGTATACACCTCATGTCCACAATAATATTATTGTGAACCAGGTCCACACAAGCTTTTTCCATATAGAAAATAACCTCAAATACAACAACAAATGACTAAACCAGAAGAGAGGAAGTGTGTAGGAATGGTTGGGTTTTGCAATAAGAGGAAAAACTTCCATAAGGTAAAAACATACTCCTTGTAATTAGTTGGTCAAAGATAAACACAAATAGTATTAACTCCTATAAGGCACAAATGTCAAAGAGAACAGCAACATACCCACTGATTGCAACTTTCATACTCTTGAGATGAGTCCAAGCAGAGGATGGAACCTCCCACACCATACTGAAGTCATCATCGGGACGTACAGACCCTGACCTAGCAGCCAAGTCCCTTACATGGCCATAACTTGGGATAACTTCGTACATGTCACCAAGGTAATGCTGAATAACCTTAGCCTTAGTGAGGGACTCCACGACCAAAACAGATTTTCCTGCAGGAGGGTACAATGGCTTTAACTTAATAGACTTGATACCATTAACAGTTGGTGGTTTTGGTTTCTGTGGTGCCTTGGGGGTAGAAGGCTCCTCCTCCACCACCTTCACAGGTTCCTGTAAAGCACCATTGATTTTTTCCTCTACGTTCACTTGTTTCGGAGATTTTCCCTTCTTCCTAGGCTTCGAGACTTTTTTCTTAGGCACAGCTTGAGGTGATTCGGAAAGGTCAACCTCTTCCTTAGGTATACTAATAGATGAGCTATTCTGCGAAACTAAAGTGTTAGTCAAAAAGATAGGCCTGGCTAACAACTATTTGTCTCAGCCAAAAGAACAAAGAATGCTTACCTCAGCAGTTGACAGACCATTCGGTCTTTTAGCTCTTCTAGAACCTTTTGAGGGAACAGCATCAGGAGAAGACAGTGTATCAGATGGCTCATCTTTTTTCTTCTTGCTTCGTGATCTTTGCTTTGATTTTGTTTCACTCTTTGGCTCTGCTTTACTGTCAACAGAACTTGGAGCAGAGAGAGGCTGTACAGAGTCTGCTTCCTTTAGCCCTTCTCTTGCCAGCACTTCAGTTGAATTTACAGAGTTGACATTTTTACTGGCAGATACTCGGCGATCAGGAAAATTCTTCCTAACCATCTGGCTAGGAAAAGTTTTCAGTGAATCACCTTCAGTACTCCCATGAGACGCAAATGTTTTTACCCGCCTTCGTTGTTTATCGGAAACAATGGGTTTTGGTATGTTCCTACTACTTTTTCCATCCTTTACACACGTGGACTCACATGTACTTGTATCACCAAGACCTGATTTTGGCATTGCCTTTGTGGAGAGCATCTTCTTAGCAAAAGCAACATATGTAGGTCTTATGCTCTTACTTGAAATCCTAAATCTTGAAGTAGAAGGCAAAGGATGACTTGCAAAACCAAGTAATGACAGAGAACAAATGATACTTCCCTTCCTTGATTCATCAACAAGTTCTCTGATACTATTAGACCCTAAGTCACACCTGATAGATCTTGACTGCTGAGCCATCATCTTACAGGCTCCTCTAACCTTTTTAAACTGTATCAATGATCCTTTTGTATGTACAAGACAACCACTCACAGATGTGCATGGGAAATAGGTGGCTGCATAACTCTGTAATGTGCTATATCGTGTCTGCAACAAATGATTCCACAGAAATACAACATCAACAAACTTATATATAAAAGGGAAGGAAATGTAAAAATACCGTGGCATATGCTGGTTTATAGGTAGCAGCACTATATGCTTATAAATTCTAGTCCATCCGTCAGCCACTTGTCCTACTACAGTAATTTATCTGGGTCAAATTTCACATTATAACCCAAATGAGAAGTGAGGATGGGAGGAACAGAGCTATTACAAGGTATAACTTCGTAAAATTATATTAATTCTTCAATAGGATGGGTGTGGAAAATGTGACAACTATTTTGGGACAAAATGAGTATTAAGTAAAGGGCACTAGGGCAGATACTTTGTTTCTACATTTTTCATTAATATGACTTATATAATTGCCTCCCCAAATGAACAAATTGTTTATATGCACTCACCATATCTCCTAGGCAAAAATTTATGATTTATCAAACATATAAGATTATATAAGATTGGGGAAAGCTTGCACATAGAAATAAACCTCCGAAGAGAAGGTTCAAGGACATAGAGAAATGTAGGGACTCTATACAAGTTCCCAACATCTCAAGGGTCATTTTTTCATTTTTCCACAAACTCTCCTAGTTGCAAAATCAAAATCAAATGGCAGCTCAGACCAAGAAACTGGTGTCAAGAGGATGGAAATGACATCATTCCATCAATATTAAACCAATAATAACTACAATATTTACTTTACTAGTACAAACAACATTTTGATATGTTCTTCATATGTGTTGTTCTTCACAATTTCACATCAACCATCTCACCCATATGACAACAGCACCTCTTCCATAAGGGTATCAAGCAAAACAAACAAAAAAAAGATGTTTACAATCTCATTTTTCATAACATTTCAACAAATAAATAAAATTAGAAACAATCCTCGACCTCAAAAATAAAATGCCATATCATCCAAATTAAAGTAGAATTACTGAATTATCACTGAAAGATGTTCTACACAGAGCCAGAAACGGCAATAAAAAAAAGACAGGATTCGATCCCATGTCAGAAATTTACATATCTTAAGCTTAAAACCCAACAATTCATCATTCCAATAACATATTAAATAAATCCCAATCCTCCTACCAATTAACCAATTCCCTACAATCTAATGCCAATAAATTAACTTAAACAAATTGAATGAATTTAACAACAATCGCTAAAAACAAAAAGAACCCATATTTTCTAAAATTAATTTATACTTACAATTAATAAGATGAAATAAGCAAGAAATGGGAGATTTACCTTAGTCAAGAAAGAGGGTCCTAAAATGGAGGAAGCAGGATTAGAAGAAGAAGCCATTAAACTCAAATGAAGTCGGTTTAACACCATTACACTAAATTAATTGAGAATAAAGATTGTAACTTTAATTAGAGAGTGAAGAGTATAGCATCGGAGAAGTTACTTAGAAGGAAGACATGGGTGTTTGAGAAAGAAGAGAGAACTGCCTACTTGTTGCAGGCGTTGGAGTGGAGAGAAAGAGAAGAAGAGAGATTAGGTGTTTTGAAGGGTTCAGGGTTTTAGACTTTGGATTAAGGAAGTTAAAAAATCTACATGTTACAACTTACAACCCTTTCAATCTTTCATCGTTTTTCATAAAGTTTGTTAAAATAATTTTTTTTTTTTTTTTTTTTTTGCTGAATTAAAATTATTTTTACTAAATTAAAAATTAATTTTGCTGAACTAGAATTTTTTTTAGTGAATATTTACTTCCTCCGTTAATTTATAATTGCAACAATTACTATAAATGGGTGCTAAGCTTTAATTGCAACCAAAAAATTTCTTTCCTTTTTTGGAAAGTTTTTTATACCAAAATTACCAAACTACCCTTATTATAAATCGATTAAGATATACTTATACACTTAAACTAAAATCAATTAAAATCTTAATCTAACATTACTACTTTCTAACCATTCCCGCCAAAAAAATAGCAGATCCCACTTCCTACTCATTTCCTTTTAATCTAAAATCCCCCAAATTGATTCAACTTCTCACCTGCATCATTTATTGCAACCTTCAACCTTCAACCACCTGCATTAACTCCATGGCTTTAAACCCTAACCAAGATCTGTCACCAACACCCCCACTCCTCGCTTTCCACACTCTTCTACCACTCTCCTCAACTTCTCTTCTCTCTCTCCTCCAAAATTCGAACTTCTTGTTTCTCAAATCTTCACACTTTCCTCCAAAATTAAAAGTTCCCCAAATAAAAAATCTTCTGATCTCTTCTCTTATGAGAATATGGGTGTTGAGAAACAAGATAACTAGGATCCACCTGCTGGGTACCAGCGCTACAGGTGCGAACGAGGAACTGGTATAATGAAACCAATTCGTCGAACCTCTTTGCGCTGGAGGAGATTCATCAAACGCAGCGGTGCTAAGCTGTCTGAGTACAACTCAGATGAGGAGGAGAGGTCTGGTAAGGCAGAACCGGGCAAGGAAGTTGAAGCGGAGAAGGTTGGTGAGCCAGATCTGGGCAAGGAAGTCGAAGCGGACAAGGTTGGTGAGCCAGATTTGGGCAAAGAAGTTGTTGCGAAGGCTAATTATCCTGCCTTAGGCCCAGATCTAAAAGGGAAGGTGATAAGTGTCATTTATGTCACTATTTTTTAGAATTTTCTAGTTAGTTTTTCATTATTTTGATATCTTTTTACTTTGTTTTAATAAAGTTTTATTTCATTTGTCGTGTTTGCATGTGAAATGTCATTGTTGATCAATTTTGGCTTTTCTTGCATATTTTTGGTTGCTTCTTGCATTAGATTAAACTTTATAAGTTTATTCTTATGTTTAGGAACACTTGGATAAGTTCATTGCTCAAGATTGAAGAAATGTAAAACATAAAAGAACAAGTAATTTAATGAAGAAATGTGCACTTGATTTGCAAAGATCAAACTTCAAACGCCTATATCTTTTGATCTACAAAACATTTCTGAGTGGTTCTAATTGGAGATGAAAGCTTATCTCAAGAGATTTCCAACGACAAGTCATATGCTCAATTCCAATATAAACCGAGGGAGTTATGTTCGTTTGAAGCTGAGCAGTTTTGTCGAGCGCGAAGGAGCGGGCGCGTAGTCTAAGAGGAGCGCCGGCTCCAAATTTTCTGGAACGATACTACTTCTCACTGCTGCAGCTAGGAGCGCTCGTGCATTGACTTTGGAGCGCCCGCTCCTATACATGCTGCTTAACTTTTTGCGGAGCTTCCTAGGCAATTTAGTAAGGGGTATAAATAGATATTTTGCTCGAATTTCATTTTTTCAATAGTTTTTAGGTTAGTTTTAGGTTTTTAGAGAGAGAAACTCTCAAATTTTGGAGAGAGAAAGTGAGAAACACAATGGTTTTCATGGATTTTGGATAATCAAAGGAGGAATTTGATGATCTAAAGATCTCCATCTTATATCAATGAGCATTCTTACTCTCTTTTCTCTTTATGCTATCTTTAATTGCTTTGTTAATCATGTTTGAGTAGATTTCCTTCTACTAGGTGTTGAGTGAAGCTTTTAATGGTTAATTGAGTTATTTGAGATAAATTTGATGATAATTGTGTAATTAAATTTATTGAATTGATGATGGCATGTTGTTTGTTTTAGATTGGATTGATTTCCGATCCCATGATAGCAAACTTAATTGCATATTGGTTCTAGTTTGACAAGGGATTGTGGATTAGAATTGATATATTTGATTGCAATTTGGGTTAATTTCTTTTATGCACCTAGTCATAGAGGGATTTAGGCTAGGAATTTGAGAGATTGCTCTTGAGTGTAATTAATTCCCATTTTAATTCTTTCTTTGCATAATTGATTATCAAATGGATTCTCATTAGCTTGTTAATTGTTCAAATTGCATCTTGCCCTAGTAGACTTTATAGTACCTTGTTCTTTATATGTGTATTAGTGTAGTTGTAGTGTCCTCTATCCATAAACCGACTTCGGCCTAACTTAAGCATTAGATAAAAAATTATCTAGCATTACCGTTCCTTGTGGTCCGACTCCGAACTTACCACTAGACTTGTTTAGGGGGTTAGTTTAGGATTTATAAATTTGTTTAACCGTGAGGAGGTTAGTCAACAACCTAATTTTCCCGTGTTCAGAAGGCCCTTGTCGCTGTTGATACCCTTGCAGTTGCTCTTAAACTTGGGCTTGAGGCTGCTAAAGCTACTCCTACTAAGCAGCAAAGCAAGGGTCCTCTTTCTGGACACAAAAGGGTTCAATCTGGGTACCTTATTGATATGGACAACGTTGATGAAAATTATTTGGCTTACCTAAAGGTCAGTTCCACCAAGAATGACAATTGATTATGCAGCGTAACTATAATCTAACCCTAATTTCCTGTTTATGTTTGTGATTATAAGTTCATTTTATGAGTCCTTGTGTTGAGTTCCTGATTTGGCATGTTTGGAAGTTTGGTGGTTAATTGTTGTTGATTGATTGCCTTTGATTACTTGCTCTTTCTGTACGCTATTGAGGAATGTAATTGGTGGATGATGATCTTGTCTGTTACTTCTGTCTACTTATTGACAGTATTAGATGGATGGTTGCCCTATATGAATATGTTCTCAATGACATTATTAGAGAGAATTGAGTCGCTTATTTGCTTGGCTAATAGGTTGACCTATATGACCAGAGTCCCTTTTGTGACTGTATTGGTGGTTGCCCTATGTGAATTGAGTCTCTGCTTTTAATGTTTGAATGATAGCAACACTCCAAATGATGAAGGGACTCCATTGTAAAGGAATGTCAATGTTTGATTTGCTCCAACAATTTCAGAAATGAAATGTTATTGAGGTAACAACTTGGGCATGTACTGTGAAAATAAAAAACCCTTCCTGATGGAGTTAGCCAATGAGAATCACATTCCCAATTATGAGGTCAGTACACTATTTCATTCATTTGATCATTGGTTTTCCAAAATGCCTCATACATGACATAACAGGAAATATACTTCTAACACAACACTTAGCACAAAAGATCTGATACATGACTGCCTTAGACCATACACATAATGTTTAACAAAATACACATAACCAGTTATCATGAACCCCCCCCCCAAAAAAAAATAAAATAAAAAATACTACGACATAGGAAATGACTAATATGTTACCATCACTTGCATATTTCTTCACTGGTTATGTGTGGCAGTCCCTGTGTTGATTGTTTGGTGATCCGTACTTGATTAGTCAGCATCCACCTCCATTTCTGTGTCCTCCACTTGGCCTTCAAAAGTTGGTATGAAAAGAGTGTTGAGATAATTTACAGCATGTTCAATGAGTTCCTTTGGTACCTCCAAATATTTAGGGAGAATTCCCAACTTGTCTAACTTCTTTTGGGCCATATATGGAGGGTTAAAATTGTTACCACCATCTTTCTCTAGGATTTTAATCATGACTGTCTGCTGACTTATCCATGTATACTTGTTTAGAGTTGGATCAAACTCCCTGTATGCTTCTTTTACTTTCTCAATAAGGTCATCAATATTCTTAGGGAAAGACTGGTATTGTAAAGATTGAATAACTTTGAACAATTTTAAGTCTAACACATTTAAATCTAGACTTTGTGATGGCCGGTACACTCGTTGTATGTTGAATCCACTTGCTTGGCATGCTGCTCTGAACTCATCATCCCTTGGGATCTGATAGGGCTTAGCATTATCCCACTGAATTATCACATCCTTTAGCAGACTTTCATGCCATTGTGTTTGTATTGCTGGAATTATATGCTCCATTAACATTTTTCTGATGGCTTCTTTGTTGACACTCTGGACAACTTTTGTTTCAAGAGTCCCTGCCTCCCTATTCTTGCTCTTTTTCTTTGCCCTTGTGGTGTACACAAAAGGGAATATCCCATACTTTCCTGAATGTAGTAGCTGACCAGTTGTGCTGTATAGGGGCTTCCCTATCATCCCCATAAACATAGCCTTAACCTTGAATCTTTTTTATTGCTGGCACTTGTATGGTTTTCCTCTTTTGGAAGAAGATAAAACCTCCTTTCCTCTAGGTTCAAGAAAAAATAATTTTTCATCAATGTGTATAACTTGTTGCATATCAACAAATGTTGGATTTGCATCTGCTGGTATGGGATTTATGTGAGATAAAGCCCACTTAACCCTTGCAATCTTGTGGTTAGAGGTAAGGGCTGGTGGTTGCTACTTGTGTGTGTAATGAGCCTCCCCTTCTTCTTCAAATTATGCAATGTGACATGAGAAATTTTCAAAGTTGTTGCATAGCTTGTTTCTGTGGTCCTCTTGTATAGTGGGACTGACATCAACCACTCATCTGAATATTATCTTGGTTTAAGACCACATCTGCCCAATTTCTTGGACCTAACATCAATTACATTCCCCTCATTCATTTGTTGCTTGATATTCTTGAATAACCTTGATAATGTGACCTGTGCACATTGAATTTGTTTGCTTGTTGAGTCAGAACCCTTGGCAATTCACCATCTATCATTGTTAATAGAATTGCATCAACAATTTGTCTTTTCTGCTCAATTGTTAGATCTTTTTTGCCATAATTTGGTATTTTTCCATGTGGGATGTCTTGGTTGGTTGCATGGTCATTTGCTTCATTATCTTCTTCATTTGCTGATTCTTCAGTTTGGCGTGAATCTAAATATTCATTCATG